AACTTGATTATAGTGTCCATCGAGCCTAATCATAATTCCCCAACAATACCGTATAGCACAAAAATTATGTTTATTTCTTTTACTGTGTAGATACTGATACTATATGTGTTTTCTGTACTGAAGGATGACATCAATCTGTTTGATTACAATGTTCAAGAGCGTGTCGATGCTTTTGTAGCTGCTGCCTTATCACAGGTAAGCTATGTGTTTAATTTTTCGTGTTTCGTTGCCAAGCTGGTATTTCGTGTTTTCTTTCTCCCTTTCTATCTTTTTTTTTGGATAATTTTTTTTTACATTATTAAAATGAGAGCATTTTCTGAAGAAAAGTTTCTCGGTCCGTTTTATAGTCACTGCCTTAATTGGTTTCACAGGCGAATGTTACTCGATCAAATCATATCATGTGGACAATGGGAACGGATTTCAAGTATCAATACGCAGAGACATGGTTCCGCAATATGGACAAGCTCATACATTATGTGAATCAAGTTAGTGAACAATTAAACATTTTTTTAGTGGAAATTATATACCGCTCATATTTTCTTATTTCAAGCCATTGAATGGATTAATAGTATTTTTGGAATTTATATTTCTATTAATATACCCTTTTTGAACTTTCTTGCAGGATGGCCGTGTGAATGTCTTATATTCAACTCCATCAATATACACCGACACGAAACATGCTCTAAACGAGGCCTGGCCTCTTAAATCCGATGACTTCTTCCCGTGAGTCCGAGATTATTATTTTTTTTATCCACTAAATATATACTATAATTATTGATTTCTTTTTTTGTTATAACTTGTGTATCAGATATGCAGACCGTATTAATGCTTATTGGACTGGATATTTTACAAGTAGGCCGGCCATAAAAGGCTATGTCAGAACAATGAGTGGGTACTATTTGGTATGTCCTAAAACTCCTAGAATATCGTGTGTGATTGTTTAATTTTTAGTTTGTTGGAATAGATCGAATGGGAAATCACACTAAGACTCGGTATACTTTATTAGGCAGCAAGACAGTTAGAACTCTTTAAAGGAAGAAATAAATCAGGGCCCACGACCGAATCTTTAGCCGATGCTTTGGCAATTGCACAACATCATGATGCAGTTACTGGTACTGAAAAACAACACGTTGCTAACGACTATGCTAAACGACTTTCAATAGGTTACAAAGAGGTGAGTTCCTTTTTTTTTTTCACGTTTTGAAGGAAAAGAAAAAAAGAAATTGTCTTATATTTATGAATTTATGCAGTCTGAGGATGTTGTAGCAGCTGCCTTTGGTTGTATGACACAATCATCGTCGTTTTCGGAATGCAAGGATCCTCCTACAAAATTCACCCAGGCAAACACCTCGAACCTCTTCCATTTTATCGACCTTAATTTTATTTATCTGTATTATTTTTTTATTTTTCTTATGAACATGTCTATTTTTTTTTCCAATCATCAAATACATTTCAAGTTTCAAGTTTGGATATATTTTTCTCATGTTATATATTTTAATTATATCTATTTTCTTGTTTCCAGTGTCCACTTCTGAACATAAGCTATTGTCCTGCAACAGAAGTTGATATTTCGCAAGGGAAGAAATTAGTAAGAACATTATCATCTAGTTAATTTTGCTGTTTGTCAATAATAGTGTATATATATATATATATATATATATATATATATATATATATATATATATATATATATATATATATATATATATATATATATATATATATATATATATATATATATATATATATATATATATATATATATATATATATATATATATATATATATATAGATATATAGATAGATATATAGATATATATATATATATATATATATATATATATATATATATATATATATAGATATATATAGATATATAGAGAGATAAATATATAAATATATATATATATATATATATATATATATATATATATATATATATATATATATATATATATATCACTCTCTCTCTCTCTCTCTCTCTCTCTCTCTCTCGCGCGCGCGCGCGCTCTCGCTCTCTCTCTCTCTCTCTCTCTCTCTCACTCTCTCTCTCTCTCTCTCTCTCTCTCTCCCCCCCCCCCGCGCGCGCGCGCGCGCGCGCGCTATATATATATATATATATATATATATATATATATATATATATATATATATATATATATATATATATATATATATATATATATATATATATATATATATATATATATATATAATTATTGCCTTGCTATTTGCAGGCAGTGCTCGTGTACAACTCCCTGGGGTGGAAAAGAACATCTGTCGTGAGAATTCCCGTAAGATTTTTGCACCTGCTTCTAATTTTCAAACCTGAACTTATTCTATTAATTTTTGTAATGAAATCTTATTCATTTGATTTGTCACTATTAAGAATTTTTATAGGTGACTGAATAAGAGTTCGTATTACTTGGCGCAGGTGATCAACGAGAACGTCACTGTATCAGATTCTACCGGAAAAGTGATTTTGTCACAGATTATTCCAATTGTTAATGCTTCAATAGCAAATAAAAAATTCTACGCCACTGCATACACGGGCGAATCCACTTCGGCAGGCCCCATGTATTGGCTTGCATTCACAGCCGAAGTTCCACCTTTGGGTTTCAGCACTTACGTGATCTCAAGTGGTAAAGGTGTGAGCCTGATCATCTTTATTACAAGTAGTTACTGTAATAAAAATATACGTTTACATTCTGTCACATGTGTAAATTACAACACATGCAGCTTCTGCTTCGATAAAACCAAGATCGTACACTTTTGGTGGGGCCCAAAACAGCAGTGCTGTGGAAATAGGTTCCGGAAACTTGAAGCTTATATATTCTGGAAACAACGGAACACTTACGCAATATATTAATAGCAGAAGCTCGGTATGCAATTAAAAAAAAATCCTCGTATTTGTATTTGTCATGTTCTTTCTTGTCATGTAATATAATATGCATATTTTTTTAATGAAGGTGAATATGTCTCTAGAGCAGTCGTACACTTACTATGCTGGGGAAGCAGCGGGTACTGATCAGGTACTATTTTTGTTTTTCTATAGATTTTCCCATGAGTTTGATTTCGTACAATTTAATTCGGTAACTTTTTTTTTTCCTGAAGGCTTCAGGGGCATACGTCTTTCGGCCAAACGGCACATCTGAAGTACAACCTGAAGAGAAGGTACATGCGTTTTTCATCAAATGAAAAGGCTATTATTGTTTAAATTTACGTTGGTCAATTGTTGACTTTTTTGTCGTAAATTGTAGTTTCCGCTTAGAGTTTTCAAAGGACCGCTCTATGATGAAGTTCATCAGATGATTAACTCATGGATATATCAGGTTAGTTTCAGATTTAAAATTTTAATTTCATTTTGAAGATTAATGGTACTTTATTTGGTAAAAAAAGAGTTGGAATAATATCCTGCTTATGTTCTTCATCTCATTTAATATATGTACAAAAACAAATACTAGAGCCATTAAACTAATAATGCAGAAAATGATTTGATCTTATGTCATGTACAGATTACACGAGTGTACAAGGAGAAGGAACACGTCGAGGTCGAATTTACTGTAAGTAGTTCTTTTTTCTTTTTCTTTTTCTTTTTGCAAGTGAAGATCAAATATTGATAATCTCGTGTTGATGAATTATCCTGAATTTCAGGTTGGCCCAATACCTATCGATGATGAAGTAGGAAAAGAGATCGTCACCCAAATAAAATCAAATATAGGAAATAACAAAACATTTTACACAGACTCTAATGGACGTGATTTCCTCGAACGAGTATGTTCTAAATTTTTAATTAATTTATTTATTTATTATGTATTCCTTCACATAAAATATGTATTTACCTTACGAGTTTCTCCTCTTTTTTTCGGGTTTAGATTCGAGATTACAGAGCTGATTGGGACCTTGAAGTGAACCAACCAATTGCAGGGAATTACTACCCTGTACGTTTTTTTTTACCTTCATATGAAACGGTTGTTTTACGAATGTTATTATATGTTTTCTTATAACAATATTTTCGATGATTTAGTTTATAAAATTTGATTGTTTCAGATAAATCTTGGAATTTACATCAAAGACAACAATACAGAGCTCTCGGTTTTGGTTGACAGATCGGTTGGAGGATCGAGTATAACTGACGGTGAAGTGGAGATAATGCTCCACAGGTTATTCTGCTCATTTTTTTTCTTATTTCCGACATTTTATTAGTTTGCTATATAAACAAAAATCATTTGGACACAGCTTTAAAAGATAGTAACATCTCAAGACATTGTTTTTGTAGGAGATTGCTCTATGACGATGGCAGAGGTGTCGACGAGTCTCTGAACGAAACAGTCTGTGTTCTCGATAAGTGCTCTGGCTTAACTGTAAGCAGACACTCTTTTACACATTTAAAATATTTTTATACACGTAAAAAAAAAAATACAAATTTTATGTTTAATTAGATTATATTACATTATCAATCTATTACAGGTCCAAGGGAAGTATTATCTCAGATTTGATCCACTTGGAGAAGGGTCCAAGTGGCGCAGGTCGTTTGGACAAGAGATTTACTCCCCCTTTCTTTTGGCCTTCACCGAGCAGGTAACTCGAAACTGTTGTAATTTTCTGAATATTGCCGATTAAATTTGTCCAAAACATTTAGCTGGTTATTTTGTATGTATATATATATATACACAGGATGATAAGTGGACAAATTTTGCAATACCAACCTTTTCAGCTATGGATTCTTCGTATAGTCTACCGGATAATGTCGCGATATTAACCCTCCAGGTAATCTCTTAAGGTCTCGTTTGGTCTTATGATCAATTAAATAATCGGACCGTATTTAATATTTGGTTAGTCCAATAAATAAGGCCTAAATAAATGATTCTTGATTCTTGTAAGACTTGTTATCGAATTTTCTTTTTCCTCAGGAGCTTGAAGACGGAACGGTTCTCCTTCGCTTGGCGCATCTATATGAGGTTTTATGCTCTTAAGTCGTACAATAAAATTACATTTATAATTTCTAATTCACCTGCAGAAACTATTTTTTTCTTTACTATTTATATTTATTATCATCTCATTTTATTTTGTTCTATATTAGGATGGTGAGGACAAAGATTTATCTGTCATGGCAACCGTCGAACTGAAGAAAGTCTTCCCAAATAAGAAGGTGAAACAACATAAATTTAAATTAATCTCCGGTTTTATAGTAATTAATGACTCACTGTCTCACTTTAAATATACTTGTTAGTAACTTTCGGAAACTCTCTCTGGTCAGATAAACAAAATCAAGGAAATGAGTTTATCGGCAAACCAAGAGAGAGAAGAAATGGTGAGAAAAAGATTATCTTGGAAAGTGGAAGGCTCCAAAACTAAACAAGACAATGATTTGAGAGGTGGGCCCGTAAATCCCGTTAAGTTGACAGTCGAACTCGCCCCCATGGAAATACGGACCTTCATCATCGACTTTAACACAAAACTCGTCCAGTACTAAAAGGTATATATGGCTAAGTTACTTTGTGATCATTTATATTTAGTGTTATGCAAATTCATATATGCAGTATCTGCTTGTTTCAGTGCAACGATCTCAGTCGGGATTTTGGTGGCAAAATTACTCGACAAAGAGCTCGAATAATGTAGTAACGGCGTTTATTTTATATGCTCTTTCTGGAATACAACGATTAATAAATAACTTTTTGTTTCTTTTTTTTTTGGGAAAAGTAACAATTTGAAAAATCAAAACGTATATTTAAAATATTTCAAGAATACTACAAATGACAATCAAATAAGAGTAGAGAGAATATATAGATTGTCATTGAGAGAATAAAAACTTATGTTTAGAATATTCAAATACAATTATAACTTGCACACACTCAAAATAGTTATCGAAATCGAAATAACTACAACGATTTGTCTAATTCTAAAATTATTCACTTGCAATACGATAAGTGGTCATATATCCATGCTAAGTGATTGTACAATATCGATCTTTTCCAAAATCTAATTTTTAAAATCGGGCGATCTTCCTCGCGATATATTTCCAATATAATTTTAAGGATAAATTACAACCGCCCTCTGAGATGAGGCTTATTTATATAAAAAAAACCCCTTATGTATTCATAGTTACATTCATCGTCCTACAATTTGTAGATTTCTTATATTAGCAATCTTTTATAGAAGGGAGGATGTAAGAAATTTACAAATTGCAATGGTTGGCTGCAATTTCTCAATCGTTTTTTTTTTTAATTATACTTTACCTAAGGAGGTTATTGTAATTTACCGTAATTTTAATGCATGTACACTCAGAAATAGATGTTGGATGAAAGAAAGAATGAGCAAAACTTATCTAAAAATCAATGAATATTCATTCACGTGCAAACAATGGGATGGATAACAAGTGATTGATTGTACAATAGCTACTTTTTGGGTGGGGGCATCTGTTTGTATTTCGTGACTGACTGCTCATTGGAAATGATTTATCATCTTTGTGGAGGTACAATTCAATTATGCACTATTTCATTTTCTATTAATGTTTGGCCCCATTTTGGGTTTTTTTTTTTTCATTTTCTTTAGGAAAAAAATAATTTAGGGAAAAAAATTGAGAAAAAAATAAAGTTTATTTGAGTTTTCATGAAACAATTTACATAGTAGCAGTCAAATTATACGTCGGAAGAAAGGTATTTTTGAAATGAGAATTTAAAAGTATTTTATGTTTGAATTTTAGTAATAAACATTGTTGTCATCATATCATGTTTCAAGGAGAGGAAAATTGGGTCCCGCAAGAGATGACTTAGCGGTTTGAGTAAGTGAGTTTGTGTCGATTGAACCAAGTTCGAATTCCTTTGTCAACGGTTGTTAGGTCGAGCTTGTCACACACGATTAGCATAGTGTGGTTTACGTCTTTCGTATGGTTTGCAAGTTATTATACGCAGAGTGTATGTTAACTCAGTGCACATATATTGTTGGCTGCAGATTCTTTCATTACAAAAAAAAAAAAAGAATCCAAAATATATAATTTAAATTGGACCTGCGAGTCGAGATCGAAAAATTTAATTTAAATAGCTGTGTGGGTATGTGTAATCAAAGGAAGAAACGAGTGGAAGTTCCTTGGACCTACGAGTCGCAATCGAAAATTTTATTATCTAAACGAGATTACTAATTTATTGAAAATTCATTCTAACTTCAACACTTGACCTAAACTTACCTAATAGTTCTAATCCTACCAATCTCATTTTTGTAATTGCATTTGGATTTAATTTTTTTTAATAAATAATAGTAATAAATCATTCAACGAACAACGTTTACTTTTATAATAATTGACCAAATATGGGCACAAAAATGTAAGCTATATCCTTTAAATTTTTAATTGTTCAAGGTTATGGGACTCCACTTGCAAGGGGTTTTTTAATTTAAGAATAATTAATTAATTAAATAGTATAAATTATTAATTAGCTTATTTATTTATTTTTTTGTTTACATTATATTATCATGTGAGATGCAATGGATCTGAGATGAAGCACCCCATGAAGATATGTTCATAACTTCATATTTTACGTCAAAATATGGTTTAAATTTCATTTTCTTCCTATTCTTCCCCAATTTTATTTTTATTTCTTTTATTGGGACAATTTAGATTTCTAAACAAAGTAAATAAATAAAAATTGGGTTTTAAATACATTTAACTTTTAAATTACATAACTAAAGTGTCTTTTTTTTTTTTTTTTTTAATATTATTTCCAAACACCCCAACTTTTAAAAGTAAGCAATATTTAAAACTTTACGCATAGTCACCAATTTTTGCCGTTACAAATGTGTTTGCAAACACCACCTCAGTGTGAAATAGGGGTGGTAAACGAGCTGGGCTGACCCGTGAGCTCAATGAGCCGGCTCGGAAAACACAAACTTGAACTCGTGTTTTTCGAGCTTTCTGACAAGTTGAGCTTGAATTTTTTTTTAAGTTGTTCATGAGCTCACGAGCCGGCTCGTGAGCCTTATTTTATTTATTTTTTATTTTTATATATATTTTATTTATTTAAATAATGTATAATGCTATAAAATATTATAGAAATAATATAGAAAGAACATACAAATTATTAAAAATATATATAACTACAGTGTATTTTTTTTTAATATTTTATTATAATCTAAATAGTTTTTAATAAAAAAAAATAATAATAACAAAAAAAAAAAAACTAAAATAAACTTGGGCTCGAGCCAAAAAAAGAAACTCAACAAGTTCGAATCTGCCAAAACAGGTAAGCTCGGCTCATTAACATCCCTAGTGTAAAATTACTAAAAAAACCTAGGCTTAGTATGCGATGAGACCCAAATACAAAATTAATTAATATATATTATAAATTAACTGATATCCAATAGGATTTACACACGTCTTATGCTTACAAGAATTATATAATCAGCCAGCCCGGCCCGAGCCGACGCCAAGCCATTTCTAATATTTTAATTAGTACCCTTGACCAACACTTTTTGTTCTCTTTCTAGCAACCTATTAATTAACAATTAATTAATATTTAATTTGTATGATTGTTTTGTGATTTGTCCCAAAACTTAGGATATAAAATATTTTAATCACTAATTAATGGGATGTGGCATGGCATGCCTTTAGTTAGACGTGCAAACCTCGTATTAGACTTAATTATGATTAACCTAATCCCCAACTCTCTCGATATTATTAAATATAATCCATGATGATTAATTACAATTATCTTAATTGTGGATAATTAGGACATGAGAGAGAGAGGATATGGGGACATGTCTAATATCTTGTATACATAGTGACCAATAAATAAATAAATAAAATTATATTGTCGGTCCTTGAGTTTGGGCCAAATTACAAATAGACCTCTTTGTATTTTAAAATGTTACAAAAATCTCCACTAAAGTTTAAATTTTACTAAAATATCAACTTAAACTCATTGAGATATATTTTATTTGCAAATACGAGAGACACTAGTCTTACCATGTGTGACAAACTCGGTCGATCGTTGGCAAGAGATTCGAACCTGAGTCAACTGACACAAACTCACTTGCTCCAACCGCTATGTCATCGGTTACGGTAATATATAATTTTATTTACGGAATTTAAGAATGTGCATGTGCATATATACCATGTACAAGTATAAGATTCGCCCATGAAGATTGAAGAGTGGGGATTGCATTCCTGAAACTCATATAAATATATATATATACTAGTAATGGTGCGCCGCGCAAGGCGCGGCATTGGTGCCCATTTTTTCGTGGGTGCACGAACCAAAATCCAATATCAGATATGATTGCACTTGTATAATACCAAAAAAGATCATACATAATATGTTGGCAGAATCAAGCCCGTAACTCAACAATGTATTTGTTTGTCTACTAATTTTTCACATGCATCGGAATATTAAACTTACATATGCTTGTACGATTACTATATTTTTCAATCAATCGAAGAATATGAGCCTTTGACGGATTATAGCATTTTTCTCATTTGAATAATATATCCTGCTGTTCCAAAAGTTCTGCCACCCTAATTACCTGTATATAGGCTCAAAAGAAAAAAATAGTTTAAAGTAGATGATCATAGATGAAATTATATTACTATATGTGTAACTAAAAAATAAATTAAGACCTAAAAAAGAATTAACTCACCTCCCAAGTCTGTTCTTATCCAATTCCTTAAATCAGAACAAATGTAGCTCCCTTTTTCTTAGTCGCCTGAGAACCAATGATTCGTGCAGGTGCTTTCACTGTGTCAGAAGCTTTAAGCTCGTTGAACTGCCAAAAACGAAAAAATCATCAGATTATCTTGAAGCACATATTTAATAAGAGAATTGAGTACGAAAATGCAAATTATATTTTACCAAATGTAAAATGATGGTGTAAGGATATACAGATATGCACAACTATATTCCTAAAGAAGATTTACAAAGAAACATAACAACGACATACTTGGGTGTCCAAGCAGAAACTTTATAATCAATTGATGTGCATATATTTAGCTTCAATAACAACTCTATTATTACCTTACGTTCTTGTTCCCGGTCAACACTCTTGCCATCATGCGAGGAAGTACTCTTCGTAAAAAAAATCATAATCTCTTGTGCTATTATCAGCTAGCAACTGAGCTAATCTCTATTACGACAGAATTGAGTAAATTCGAAAAAACAAATTAACTACTTGTTTGAAGAAAGAAACGGGGGGAGCAGCTTAAATAGATAAAACCATTTGAATGCAAAAGTTTTGTACTCTTAGGATTTGAAATCGGTTTCTTCTCTGTTCAGCAACCTCAAAGACATGCATTGCCCTTCTAATATTTTTACTCATTATACCACAACATTAACCATAAAATGTAGTTAATTTTTATTTTTTCTCAAATGACTAAAGAGTTATATTTTCAATTTCCTTTATAATTCAAACTAAGAAACAGTAGAGGCATACACATATTCATATCAAAACTTCAAAATTCCTCTCCAATCAAAATATCCAACATGCGTGGGAGAAAAAAAAATACTAAAATCTATGTAGAAAAAATCCCCAGAATTGCTCTGCAAATTTCAATCCGAAAATTAAAAAAAAAATCTTTTAATGCTGATAGAAGGGGGAAAATGGCTGAAATATGATTTTAAGAAAACAAAAAAAAAAAGAGAAATTTTAGCCAACCTCGGTCGATCGAAGTCCGAAATATGGAACGAAGCCTGGCTCACTTAGAACCCCCCATGCCTATATTTTTGCCGGAAACAACAAACTCGGAAAATCCAAAAAAATTATTCCCTAATTTTTGAAAGAGATATGAGGCACAAAAC